GGAAGGGCCGTGGCTGCCCGGGCCGAGGTGGGGCCGGGCGGCGGAGAGCTTATATCGGCGTATAACACGCACACATCATTTGCTCCCTATTTTCAGGGGGGAAAAGTGCGTGTTATACGCCAATAAATACGGTAACATCAGCAGACTAACACTGAAGATATTACCTGGTTTGGGTAATGAAACATCTTCAAGAAAACAACCAAGCTCAGAAAGTACCAAGGACCCCTCATTTCAACTCTGAACTACAAATATTCTCCCTTATTGATACACACATGCACGTGCGCACATGTATCCTTTCAAAATAACATATTGCCTGAGGAAATATCATCGATATAAACCTCAACAAATGTTTATCAAGATTTCAGTAATGTTCAGAGGTGCAAGAAAGTCACTAACATGGGGAGGAAACAACCCTGATTGACAGTATTTTTCTTATGTTCTTCTATCTCAGGCTAGTAAAGGAAATCCATAGGCAAGAAATCCATAGTAGCAGACCCCCCCCCCCATCCATGTCTACAAAGTTACAGCAGTAAATAAACTTTTTTACTAGATAAGCAATAAAAATAGTAACGTAATGTTACTCCTCTTTTTTTGCCATCATGGACTAAAACAGCTCTCCTCCTATGTCTAAAACCTGAAAGACTTATTTCAGGTTTTGAAGAATCTGTCTTCCAGCTTTTGTCATAAATGTATAAATGACTTGTGACATGCGTTGTGTCAAAAGGAAGCGCAGAAATGTATATAGCTTTTCCAGCTCTGCTGCTTTTGCCACAATCAGAATACCATGTCTTGGTCTGTTGGATTAAATTTTAATTCTTTGGATTTGTTGCTAGAAAGCTGATCAGATCCTGTCTCAACAAGAGTGGCTGTTAGAAATAATCTAATAATCTGGCTGTACAAGATTTTTTTTCCCACTTCTTTTCTGCCTTTATGCTGTAACCATTCTCAAGGCAAGTTCTTCAAATGGAAAAAGATTGCTACTTCTTCTAACCCTATAGGTAAAACAAAACAACTTATTAGAGAAAAAGGTAGAAAACATAATAAACTGGAGGCAAAACTCATAGTTAAACGTTCACATGAAAATAATTTAAATTATTTTTTGTTTGATTTAAATTCTATTCTTCCTCTTCTATGTTATACTTCCACTATGGATTTGTAAAAGCCCTACAGTTTTGTGTTTTTTCCCCTCCTTACAAGACTGATATTTAGGAAATATTAAATCAAAACTGTTATACTCCATATGACCAAAACTTTACAGTTTTATGCACTGATAATAAACACGAAATAGATTTTTCTCAAATATTGACTAAAAGGTAAATAAATGTTAGCATCACAACACACAGCATTTCCCCGTTGAAACATCACTTCAGTTAATGTTCAAACTGGTTTTAATCACTTCCCATGTTACAATTTAAAGGCAGTATCAGTCAATGCAAACATTCTAAAAGAATGAGCAGATGGAGACTGGAGTCATGAAGTGGCTGGTAAACTCCTGTTCTGAAGGCAGAACAAAAGATCCACCTTTTCCATAATTACTGGACTGATTAATGCATTGCGTTTTCTCACAGCACACCTGTAATTATTGAGAGGTAAGCATTGTGCTATGTGCCTAGTGTCTGAACCAGCTCTATAGCAGCAGATGGGGCTACATCTCTGTTGACATATGTTACAATAAAATGGCTCATGAATCTTGGCATGAAAGGCAGAGTACAGCATTTTAAAAGATTAATAAATTCTAATTGTTAATCTTGCTGGCTTTTTTCATTAGAGCCATGTGCCTATAAAAAGATTCCAGAGTATTTTTCAAGAAGAGGCTAAAGCCACATTGCATGAATAGACTAAAACTTCACTTTGCTTCTAAAGTGAGAGGTGATTGGGTTTGGGCACTTTGAAACAAAGCACACAAGACACTGTAAAGTTCTCCTATGCAAATCTTAATTAAATGAATGGAACTTGAGCAAACACACTCATGGCACATTGCAGCAGGTTGCTTCTATAGCTGAAATCAGTTATCATTTAGGTTGTGTATGTTTAAAATCATTCACTGGTAGCATAAAGAGGTATACATTATTTTAAAAACAAATCATAATAAATCTTTGTAAACTTTTTAATTTCTATGGTTCAATATACTGACTTTCTTGAATTGCAATATTTCTTAATTGCACTAAATATGATAATAGAACTGATTATATAAAATTTAAGAACAAAAATATACCCACTTGTGAAGCTTACTTCCGCCTGAAGCAATCTCCTCAAAATCTCTTCTTTGAGATTAAACTGAAGGACCAAACACCAAAATCATGAACATGATATTCAGTATCAATGTAGTGGAAGCACACTATCGCTGATATATACAAATCACTGATATATATAAATCACATCTCAATTGACATCGACCTGGCTAAGCATATACCACCTACTCACTAAACACCATACCCACAAAGATGATGCCACTACAGAACACTCCATTGTCCACAGAAACCATCATGAAACTCTTGGATCTATGCCTCAACACATACTTCAAGTTCAATGGGAAAATCTACAAGCAAGTACAAGGCACCCCAATGGGATCACCCATATCAGGCCCAATAGCAGAAGCAGTCATGCAACGACTTGAATCCATAGCTCTACCCACCATCCAGCCAAAATTCTGGACATACTACGTTGATGACACCTTCATTATCATCAAGCACTCCCAAATTGAAGAAACATACCACTTACTCAATAACATATTCCCTGAAAATTAAATTCACACGTGAAGAGGAAACAGACAACAGACTCCCATTCCTTGACATCAATATAAGGAGACTAGACAATGGAGACCTGGAAACCTGAGTCTACCGCAAACCCACGCACACGGACCAGATCCTCTGCTTTGCAAGTAACCATCCCACTGTACACAAAAGAAGCTGTATCCAGACCCTCTTCAGAAGGGCCAGGGCACACTGTAGCACCACAACACTAAGAAAAACAGAAAAGAAACAGCTGCTTAACATCATTCTCCGTAATGGCTATCCAAAAAACTTCATATTCCAACACACAGCATCCAAACCACAACACACTACACAGCCAACCATCACTCAAAAACTAACCCTACCATATATAAATGGGGGTGTCAGAAATGACAGCCAGAATTCTTCAACCCCTAGGTTAAATAGCAAGAGCCCACAAATCCACAGCCACACTCCACCAGGAATTAGCCAAACCAAGACAAGATATAGAAGGATGAAAGAAACAATGTAATCTACAAAATCAACTGTAATCATTGCAACCAATTCTACGTGGGACAAACATCACGTCAATTAAAAACCAGGATCCACGAACACTGGCTAGCAGTCAAACACCACGATCCCAAATCTGTAATCTCTACTCACACCAACACCAAATAGCACCAGTTTGATTGGAGCAACACAACAATCATCGGCCACGCTACC